CTCACAAGCAGGCCCAAAGTGCGGCTTGCAGCGCCCTGATCAGCTTAATCTCCCCCTCGTCCCTCTCACCCCCCCCCCCCCCCCCCTTTTACCCACCACCCCCTCCCCATATATACACGCGAACACGCACACACAGCACTGAGGTGAGAGGAAAGAAGACAGCCTGCGTTTTGGAAGCCTTGTTCCAGCGTACGTCCATCGGACAAGGTGCTCGTTTCACAAATGGGGACGCACAGAAACGCACTGAGCGCTCGCTTTATGAATGGAATCCTCTGTGGACACCAACTAAGATGAAATAAATGGAAACAAAAAGCAGTCGCGCCCTCTTTTTACTGCAGCTCTTTGCTTAAAAATGGTTCTTTTACAGTTCTTTGCACATACCCGACCGGCTCGGGCCTGGCTTAGTGCAACGTTCCTAAAACAATAGAGCCCGCGTGTACAAGCAACGCTACACTGAACCACTACGTGTCAAGACCATGAGACCTCTCGGCGAAACTGACGTCGTGTCGTGTGGCCGGTTCATCTATATAAGCGTTCTCTATTCGCAACGGCGCGCATTTAATCCTCGCTCACTGGTTCCACATTTCGGCCGCGAGGCCGAGCCAGATTTCCCTGCACTTGGATAGGCGGGGGCTCCTCGCTTCTCTCTTTCACGTCTTTTCCGCTGGATGGCGTCGCCTCCTCTGGCGTCGCGAACATTCCAGGGCGTCGAGGGAGGTTCAACGTGAAAGCTATTCCACCTCATATTACATCTGTTTTACTCCAGCGGAACAAAACGGTACCTCGAAAGAACTGTGGACCTTCCAAGGGCTGGTGAACGCTTACCTCCACGCTCCATGTATAGGTGTGATCACATGGCGTGCTTCTGGGAGATATTAAGACATGGTCGTCATCTAAGCCCTCTGCCGCACTGTTCGTACATCATACAAAAGATGCGGACATGATGGCATATCATCTGCGGGCACGTCTCAAGCAAATTCGAAGCACGTGTTTCATACATAGGTATGCTTTGAACATGTCTGAAGAAACTTAATTATGTATGACCAACAACCAAATAAAAATAAAAAAAGAAGATATATACAGCACAGGACTTAAAATTGATTCAGTATTGGTTGGCCCCTTTTTTCTTTTCCTTAAACGGGATTTTCGTAATGAGATTTACCTTGCTTAGATGTCGGCTGGAAGAAAACATCGAATTGCTTTATCTTTAACGGTTTTTTTTTTCTTTCGCAGTGAAGTACGCAAACAGGGTCTATTCGCACTGACGTATACAATAAACAAAACACACTAACAATAATAGCGACATCAGGGTAAGTGAGTATAGGAGACCCGAACTACTCCCTTCAAACGCACGCCAAGACGTATGCATGCATAAATATTACAAACGAAGAAGACATAGCGCGAAAAAGATTTACACTGCTTTCTTTTCTTTTTTTCTTAGTTTGGTAGTTTCTGTACCCAACGGACGGCGCATAGAACATTTCACGGGAATCCATGCAGATGGGCCTCCGCTCTTTGCTTCCTGCGGAAAGTGATTTACAGCTCGGTCAAAATAGATTCGCTTCATGATCGGCAGCGCCAGCCCGGAAATCGTCGACAGGAGAATCTGTGTGCGGATCGTTACGATCGGTAGGCAGGGCTTGCGCGACCCCAAAAATTTCTCAGATCGCCGCTTGTTGACTTTCTACGTCGATCAAGCCGCCGTCCATACGTCTGACTGAGACTTGCGAACCCCATAAAGGACTCGGATAAACCCTGCACTCTCAAGAAAAAAGGGTGTAAAAGGGTGTATCGTAACATTCTTTGTCCCATATAATACACCCCAAAACTTCATTTTGGCGTACAGCGCCCTATAGTCGAACGGACGACCCCCGAATTTTACGAGGAGCTTGATAACGGTGCGATATAACTTGGAAAATAGCTAAAGTACGTTATCAAAAACCACAGAAAGAAAACACCGAGTTTTTACAGTAGGGCCAAGAAAAACCCCGATTATTTTTTCTTTGTCAGTAAAACGTACATTATCTATTTTAATAAGTTGTACCACACGGCTATCAAGCCTCTCGGTAAAATTTGGGGCCGTCTGTTGGACTCTAGGGCGCTGTACGTCGAATTAAAGTTTGGGCGTGTATTATTTGGGACAAAGGGTGTAACGATATACCTTTTGACACCCTTTCTTCTTGAGAGTGTGGTTTTCGTAAAAATCAAAAGAGCATTGAAAATGGCGGAGCAGCTTCACAATTCTCCGGGCTAGGAGCCATTCAAATCAATTCAGTGCTGTGTAAGTGTCACCGTCACGTAACCTGCAATTCATTTTTTTTTTTTTAAAAGGAGGGGGGGGGGGGGGGGGGGGGTCGGGCGGAGCGATTGTGTTGGCGTCGAAATTGAATACCCGAACTTTAATTATTCGAAGTGCGTTGGTACACACGTACGAGACGCGCCGTGAGCATTTGGGTCGTATAAGGCGGCCATGCTGGCACGAATGGTCGCTGTTCATGGGACGGCCCGCGGTCCGCATGTGTTAACACGAGAAGCGTGCAGAAGGCATTTTGCCAGTCAGGAACGTTCGCTGAAGCGTTCTTTGGTGACGGCAGAGGGCATAGCCAGAACAATTTCGCTCTTTTGATTATTATGCCGGCCTACGCGCCAGCGTCATCCAGCTTGAGCGCAAAGGATGAGGACAGGATGCGGACATGATGACAGAATTATGTCTGCGGACACACGTCAAGCACGTTCTAAGTTGTGCTCCTATCATACCTATGTATGCGTCGAACCCATGGTCTGCCAGCTGTGTTTTCTATTATGCATTTGTAGTGTGACAGTGGCTTTAGAATTCATCGATACACCGTGTCCCAACACGTCTTTATAACTTAACGCTTTGGCGAAAGTCCGCGTCTCACTCGGGAAACAGAGACGGTAACAAGAATCAAAACACGTTAATATTAAAGAGGGGGAAAAAAGAGAAAAGAAGAAGAGCACACAAAGACGCATTAAGCGTAAGTCCCACTTTGATACAGTGCGAAAATAAAATATGTGCACCGCGAAAACACTTTTGTTTGCAGTTTTATTTATTAAACGATGTATGTTTATGAAGTGTAACTCCTCTGTTTAACGCTCCAGGAACGGCTTTAACGGACTCGCCGAAATGGAACCAATCCTCACATTCGTATATCTAAAAATTACTAATTGTGTTCGTCTGCCTCGTTGTGGCTTAGGAAAGTTGAAGATTAAATGTATTTTCGGTGCTTCGTCCTAAAACGAGCAGACGGGTGAGGGTAAATTGACCGCACATAACGCAGAGGCGTTTTAGTCGATTGCCTGGGCCCTAGACACAAGCGGAATGTCGTTTTCATGGGCCAGCAGTATTTACCTGTATCATTTTGATCGGAAATAAATGTGTGTACGTATGCAAGCGCCATACAAAGACGTGCTGCAACGAAACGAAATTTTCCAAATGTGACCGACTTCGAAATGTCGGCAAGGAGGCACCAACAGATATTTACTTGATAGGAGCTTCAACGCGGAGTCAGCTGCTGCCACGCGTGTTCCCCGAATTCGACTATCCACGTACGTATATAAATCCGTTTTCAGTTTCCGCACGTGCGTTTTATACGCCGCAACCCCCGGGAATTGAGGGCGTGTACGTATTTACGTAGTCCTCTAACCACGTCGCAGCAGCGAAACTGGGCGTGGTACGATGCGTATACTTTGTTTTCTTTTCTCTTTTATAGTTTCCTCGAAACCGGTTGCGTCGGCAAAGCTAACAAAATCGAGAGAAAGCGAGACGGGAGAAGGCGGGGAACGCAGTGTGGTTCTGCAGTGCTTCGCACACTGGAATATGTTTTATAATGTGGTTCGCACTGATAAAGGAAGTCGAAACATTCGCGTGTAACGCATTGTTTTTCTATTTAATTTTTTTGCGAAACAAAGTAATTATTCTGCTGCTTATAACATGCGTACAAGGAGAAAAACAAATAAGGGAAGTAAGAAATACAAGGGGTTTGGATGCCCGCCGGTCGCCGCGCGAGGCGGCCGTGAGGTGACGCCATCTGTGGACGAGACGCGCCATTAAGACCGTTTATTTTTATCGAAGTTTTCTGCTCGATTTATTCGCCATTCGGTGAATCCTATATTTCGATTTTGATGGAGGGTTACACCAAGGCTGCCGTTGTAACGCCGGCAACCGAATAAAGGGAAATACACGATGCACTTGCGTGGAAAATGATGCGGATCACTCGACTCTGGAGCGATGACCCGCTTACCCTACGCTGTCAGGGAACCAGTGATCACATCGACGTCATTATCCTTTGGATATGAAGGACACAGCAGACTCTTAATAGGCGAGTGAAAATTACCCCTAAGAGGTGATCAATTTTTAGTTCTAGGGGAAGAAGCTTCATCACTGTTTGCTCAGGGCTTCACCCGTCCCGTCCGAACTCGGGTCAACCAAAACCTATAGCCAAGTACCCGCATTCCTCAATCCACTGCGGTTTAATGTACGTATCTAATCACACACGCACAAGCACAACAGGTGGCGCAAAATGCCATCCCCACTCCACTGTGAAGACCACCTATGGTGTATCCATCCACCCCTCCAGACATGAAGGTCTTCAAATGCACTCTTTCATTGTATCCTGTGTAGCTGCGATGTAGAGGGGCTTTGAAACACCCCAACCTGAAACATACTCACCTCCAGTGTTTAGGGTATCCGTATTGTGATCATGCAGTGGTCTCTATATCCATTAGCAAATCCAGGAATCCTCAAAGATAGCTGCGTCGAATCCACAAGACGTGATATCCAGTCGCACTTGATTGATTCTTCTTGCACTCGGTAGATGACACAGACCGGCTAGACAGGGGGCTTAGACTACAAACCCAAGTCACAAGGTTGGGGCAACACGCAGGAGGGGGGGGGGGGGGGGGGGGGGGGGGGAACGAAGTTTTTTTTAAGGAGGCATTCCTCCAACACAGTTGGGAACCAAGAACACAGGCACAGCGGGTATCAATGCATCCACGAGATTTATTTACTGTACAAAAAAATCTCCTATAGTTGTACGACTGTACATTTACAATAATGCCTTTATACAGCTTCTCTTTTTACAGGACGAAAAAAATGTGTATCTTTACAAGACAAACTGGCGAAATGCAGTTTCAGTCATAGGAGGGCCGACGACGCACGCGCGCGATGTAAGTGATGAGCATGGGGTGTGTCTTCTCTTGTAAATAATGCGCAATTAAAATAAGTGTCTTTTTATACAGCAATAAAAATGGAAAAAACTCGAAGAGATGCAAAAAGCGATCTTGGACCGGTCAAACACACACCTATGTACGATGCAAAAAACCAAAAAAAAAAAAGAAACAGCAGAGGCCACAACATTGGGCTGCACCGATGGCGCTTTTCAGCGTGGGGTTGATTAGGCTTGAAACCGAGCTGCAAGACAGGAAACTCATTCACCGGCAAAAGAAACATACACCAAATCAAATACAAGAAAAAAAAAAATATAATCATGCAGTAAACGAAAGGCCACTTCTCGCATGTTCAGGTTGTTGTAATACTGCAGCTCCAAATCGGGTAGTTGGTAAACCATCAGTTGCAATACTCTCAAAAAAGGGGGGTGTGCAGCGCAGATTCGAGAAAAAAAAATGTAACAGAGCACAGATGGCATGTATGGCTAGACGTACAATGATGGCTGCAGCGATCACAGTTGGTGGTAAGAGTCTTTTTTTTTTTTTTTTTCTTAAAAGAGTGTGGGATGCACAACAAAAAATTCCGAGCAAGAAAAAAAAAGTAATAAGGGTCACTCTCGCCGAACCTAAAGAGATTCCTGTCGACGATAAAATGGCATCGTTTATCGTTTCTTTCTTCTTAAAATGTCGGACTGAAATTAAAAAAAAAAAAAGAAAAAAGGGCGAAAACAGGTTTTTTGACGCCTGTGCTTACAGTGAAGAGGGGTCCGTCACAAAAGGGACGTTTTGTCTGTGTCGTCTAAAAGTGAGAAATAACCGTCTCAATGAGAGGCAAAACTGGCACACAATTTGTTTTGCCTCCTCCAAATATATATCTCTAGTTTCTTCACCTTTTTTTTTCCTTTTTTTTCTTTTTTTCTTTTTAGCTGTGGGAACATTTTTTTCTCGATGCTCGTGAAGGGAAGGGATGGTCCCTGAAAAAACTTGTACTCCCAGGTTGTGTACACACGAACACACAAACATGATTGCTCTGACTTTGAGGAGATATCGAGAAAAAAAACCAGCTTTCTTCCGTAATTTTGTATATTTTTTTTTTTCCGATACGACATCACTTTTGCGTCTGACTCCCTTATTTCATTTACTTCTCTTTCTCTCAAGCATACCATGTCCTATGTTTTTGCCTCTGCGCGTCGGTCGCTGCTCAATTAATGTCCGGCTTTGCTCTCCTGCGCTGCTCCGGCGACGGCTCCAGAGGCTGGCAGTTTACTATACACATGTACAAATTTCAGAAAAAAACAAGCAAGAAAAAAGAAGTCCACATCATTCGGGGGGAGGTGGAAACATGGATGATCACGCACACGTGTGCGCGAAAAGAAAAAAAAGAAAAGAAAGACCTGTTGCTGTTGCCGTCGTCTTTGTATACAACAACGTTTAAAAAAAAAAGATATCAGTAATAAAAAAAAAAAAAATTGTTTAGTGTTTTAACGAGATCACAATGTACCATTTCTTTCCGAAACCCCGGTGGTCGTTTGGGGCGTGCCTTGTTCCCGGAAAGAGGGGAGGGCCGGCACAAACAAATGCACCGCCAGATCTGAACAAGTAAGACCATAGCGCTTGGCTGCCTGCTGGGAACACAACCGAACCGAACGCCTCGGGTGCTTTTTCTTTTTCTTCTTCACACTGCCACGCCGGCCCGGGTTCCCGCAAGACAACACCCGGTGGACAAAAACAACCCTTCCAACGCGACGACGATGACGAGAACCTTACCGCGGCGCAGGTTCCCGATCACAAACGACTCGTGCAGCCTTTTTCCGCGTACCGCTGCGACCACTCGACCCCAGGGCTCGCAACGTACCCCTGACGTCTGCGTCTCTTTTTTTCGGGCGGATCGGCCTCGGCAGAACCCAGTCACGCCCGAGGCGTGACCCAAGGGTCGAACCGTCTGGGGGCGACTTTTTTTTTCGACAAAAATAATTCTTGTGAGTCGCAATACTGAGCGCGAGACCCACTTGGCCGCGTCATCACTGGCCGAGGTGAGGACGGACCAAGGGAGGCCACCGGCTCCCTACTCACGGCGCGCGGAGAGAAGGCTGCACGAGCGAACACGCAGCGCGCGAGACAGCAGACAGGCTCGGACGTGCCCGAGACTCGAAACGACGCGGGACGATCGTCATCGGACAAGGATCCGTCGTCCCGGGTTGTTGTCAGCTCCCGGGGTCACGACCGGGAGTCGGTGTGAATGGCCTGCGGTTCTCACCCTGGTCGACGACGGAGGAAGAGTTCGGAGGCACTTGCGGGGAAGCCGAGCCGGCGGCGCCCGAGACACTTGAACATCGGCGCGCGCGGCTACGGTGGAGCGGGCTTTGCTAAGGCCCCGAAGTTGAACCCTCGAACGCACTGAAGCGCGTACATTTTGGCAGTTTGTCTTCCCGTGGCGGGGAAGGGACGAGACGCCTTTAGCTGGACACGTACGTGGCCATCGGCTCGAAGCTGTTGATGTTCCTCGGATCCGCTACGAAGGGGTCCCAGGAGCCCTTGCAGCCGGGCCTGGCGGCTAGTCGCTCGGCGTGGTGGCCGGACCCGTAGCCGTGGTGGTGGTGGTGATAATGGTGGCTCACGTGGTTGTTGTGCTGATGGTGGTAGGAGAGTGCGCCCTGCGGCGAGTTAGTCAGCAGCGAGAAATTGCCGTTTGTGCCCGCGGCGGCGGCCAGGTGACCCGACCCGTCGTACAGCACGCATATGGAACCGTTCTCGCCGATGCGGTACGATACCTCGCGCGGGTCGACCCATAGGGTGAGCTCGTTGGGTAGGAGCTCGCGCAGACTAGCTTCTTGGAGGCCGCAGGCACGGCCGGCCTTGGACAGGATCGGGTCCATCTTGTGGTTGATTCGGATGCAGCGGTAGCCCGAACCCCGCGTGGGCTTCTCGGGGAACCAGTGGTGCTGGTAGTGGTGTCGCAACAGGTCCTCCAGGGTGCCCCGGAACACGTCCAGCAGTCGGGTGTCGAGGTTCCGGCCGAGCCGCAGAATGTTCATGAGGAAGTCGGCCGCACTTCGGATCTCCAGTCTCATGATGCTCTTCGAGTCCGGCGGAGGGCGATGGGACGCAGGCACACTTTGATGAGGGGTAACCGAGCACGAGCCACTTTGACGCAGGACCAGACGGATCGGGTCCAGACGCCGCTGCTGTTGCTTGCGGCGAGCGAGGCTGTTTAGGCCTAGCGCTGACTATCCAATATGGCGGTCGCTGCGACGACGGCAGGGACCAGCTGACGACGCTCACTCGGAGGAGATCACAAGGAACGACTCACCACGCAGAGGACAAGATCACACAAAAACCACGACGACGATGACTCGAAGAGGGGCACACAGTTACACTTGGACGGCTCGACGAATGTGACGTGTTACGGTGTGTTTGTTTTTTGGCAGGTGGGTTAAACGTAAAAGACGGCTAAGCCGCCTCCTTTGGTGTCCTTTTCCAGGCGTTCGACTGAGCGGAGCACCTCTCGCAGCCGTATATATGTGCGCCAGGGTTGCTAGAACGCCGCTCGCCTGCGGACGTCACTCATGACGTCGCCTCTGACCAATCGGAGGGGCCGCTTGCTCCCGAAAACAAGCCGGCCATCAAAGGAGACGGCGTCGATTGGCTGCGCGGTGCCGGAAGCTGACGTCAGGCCCCAAGCGGCGACTTCGGGGGGCTCCCGTCGGCGTCGGCTTCCAGAGAAAGGCCTTTGTCGTCTGCTCCCCGCCGCAGCAGACGCCCGTTCGCTTTTGTGGAGTACCGTCTTCCGAGGTCGACGTCGCTGCTCTGTCTGAAGTAAGAAAAAGCCGGTTTGAGCGTCACCAGCTCAAACCGCCGCCCTGTTTCTACCCTGTGACTGCCTTACCGTCGAGGACCCTTTTTTCTTGCTGTTTTATCGGCTTTAGCGCTAATAAACGTCTTTTCCCTTTTTTTTACTCGCTGTGGTATTTTTATTATGGTTACTGATGTAGCTTTTCGCTGTCTAGCCTATTGATACGTACGTTGTCTTCGTCCGGTTCCTTTCTTTATTCACACCACCGTCATTTTGATGTGATTAAGCTTTGTCGTGAAATGCGACGCGCCACGTACTACACGGCGTCCTCGAATGCATTGTAGCAGACGGCGTTCGCGTTGTTGCTATGCTGGACCGCCATCTTGCTTGTTGATCGGATGACGCTCTTTCGAGCGGGTCCAGTTGTTTTTACGATCGCTTCCTTCCGTGATCTTGCACGGAGACTTTTCATAAATCGCGTCAAAGTTAAATGGATTAAAGGTACTAGAGTGAGCATTTTTGTCCGCCGCGTATACGACGCTTGCGGATTAGGCTTAGTGCCCTTCTGCGTTGTGTGAATATCTCACCTTGGGGGGCATACCTTTTGTTGCATTTTGTTCCTTGACCGGGGGCTCTAATAGCTTGTCGCTATTGATCTCAGCTATGACTATAGTCACGCGTGCAAGTTCGTTTGTAGCGGGATCTCCAGTGATTCTAAAACAAAAATACAGAAACGGTGTGTGCCTACGTGCGATCGCGGAGCAGCTGATGGAGGGGGGCTCCTTTGTTAGAGCCGGCTGGCATTTCGGCCCCCCTTGAACACCCGCAATGCAGCGACCGCCCAAAAATACAATTTCAGACCCACATTTTAGGCTACGTATATCATTCAGGGGCTTATTTTCGAAGTTTACTTGCTGCTACGCCGTAGCGATCACTGGGCTGCGCTGTCCACGTTGCATCTTGTTTACAAACATTTCAAGAGCAGTGTTGCCCCGAGGGCACCACTGCTCCTCTTCGATTGGACGTTTTCGGATCTTCGAAGCTCCGAAGATTTGGCTCGTGTGTGTGTCTGTATATGAGGCAACTTTGCAGCTTTTCTTTTCTTCTTCTTGGAAATTTTTTTTTCTTTTTTTTTCATGTAGCTGGAAACTTTTTGTGCGAATTGCCGATAATAATGCCTACATTCTTAATGCAAAACCTTTTTTTTAAGCGTTTGGTCGGGGCATAGGCGTATATTGCACATTGTGTTCGTCAACTGATGCTAAGTGTTGTTGTTTTTTCGTTCAACGCAAAATCTACGAAAAAAAACAAAACAAAGAATTTTGGTCGTATTTGTTGCTTTATCGCGTGAATTGCGTCTTATGTTCCCATCGAATTTTATTCTTCGCTTTTAGCAGCGCTGCGCAAATTGAAAGGACATCAGCCGCGCTCTATTCATGAAGCGTCTTCTGTTCGGGTCAAGAATTGCGGGGGATATGTGAATCTTGAGTAAAGAACAACAACAACAAAAAAATTAATCATATGTCATTCACGGGTTTAGATCGAAGTTTAAAGCACGCTCGTGAAATTAAGCCACGCTATTTAGTGTGTGACTTCTTTATAACGCGCGCCCCCGTTATTCGCTAAAACGTCGATTCGCTCAAATGTCGCTGTTCGCTAAAACGTCCTTCGCTCATGTGATATGAACCCCTTCTTTATGTAGCTCGGCTGTCGGCCTAATGATTTAGGAGACGACTTTCTCTACGAAAACGATATAGAAGATGTATCGTTTAACGATAAACTTTTAATGCCTCGAATTTCTTCCCATTGAGAGTAAGGTGCATGAGTCTTGAGTTAATGTTCCCTTCCGGCCCCTCCCTTGATATAAAACAATACACCTATCCCTAATTAACGTTCATTTCAGAGGTTTTACCTGATATCCAGAACTGATACATGTCCTACGTAAAAGGACAAAACTTACCGAGACCAAGCAATTATCATTTTTTTTTTTTTTTTTAGATTTTGTATGTGGTTTTTTTTTAAATATGTACACCCAGGCTGCCAATGATGATCACAGTCACGTCGCGCTAATGTTAACCCCGTTAAAATGTATACCTTGCTGTGCAGACAGTCTTTTCGGGGACGAACTAGAAAATATAAATAATCACAGGTTGTTGTTGTTGTTTTTTTGTTTTGTTTTTTTGCCCGGGGGGGGGGGGGGGGGGGGGCGCAAGTGTGTATATTAACGAGGTATGCCTGTGTTAGCACTTTTGCTTAACGCCATGACGTACTGTACATTCAAACGATTCTAAAGTTGAGACATTCCCCATACCGACCCAAACTGGTTCCAGATCGGATGGTCTGGCTCATCATCCATCATATACCAGGATTCTTCCTTGGAACAGCCCGTGATTATGTATGCGTTACGGTAGTTCAAGAAAATTCCAAGCCGATCGCGTCGTCGGATAATTATTAAAACAAAGATTAAAAAAGAAAGAAAAAAAAAAACACGCAGCGTTTAATTAATCGAGGAGCCGCGCTAAGACTAATAAAAATATATTTTTCAGATCGTTATCAATACGTATCTATAAATGACCATTCTTCCGATAAAGTGAAAATACGGCACGGCGCGTTCCTCAAGGCTCCATTTTAGTTTCTCTATTATTCCTCGTGTACGTTAATAACATTACGGCAATACCAAGTTCCTCTCAACTAATCATGTACGCTGGCGCGACGAAAAAGTGTGTAGAAATGTTGGCTAATGGATATCTTAAAAAATTATCAAAATGTTTGCAAATCAATCGTTTACATTTAAAGACAAGTATAATTAAGTATATCATTTTTAAACCAGTGAATAAACAATGCAGTTCCAGAACTTTTATTGTTATAACATTCAAAGGCATATCGTTGGAGCAGAGGGCGGAACAAATTTTTTTTTTGTGCGTATGGTTTGCCGAGGACCTATCATGGAGTTGGCATGTAAACAAACTAAAGGGTGATTTATCCTGGGTGACCGTAAACACCATTGAATACAATATTTACAATTTACCTGGTTAAAACACACATTATATTATTCCTTATTTTACTGCAAAATGAGTTATGGAATTTTGGACTGGGGAAAGACGACAGCGGCGAGCTATAATAAACTTTTCTTTTTGTAGAAAAAAAAAATCTTACGAATATTTGAAAATTATAAGGGCGATATAAAAAAATTTAAGGACACAGCCACTGTTCATCAAATATGATATGCTTAAGACAGAGCAAGCATATCACTTTAGACTTTTACGATGGATGCATAAAAATAGAGCTTACGCCACACCAACAGACGGCCTGAGTACACATCCGATTAGAAACCCAAAGAGAAGGATGCCGGCCATAAGAACCCTCTATGGTCGCCAAACTTCAACTTTTCGAACAACTAAGACCCTAAATCGAACGGATCTAAACATTCACTTTAATACGTTTTCTGTAAAAGGTTTTTGGTTGGCAGTGAAATCGCATTTTCATTGCCCCAAGAACATGATCACTACAATAGCTAATTTCAAGGAAATATGTTTTCATTATAATTTTATCTCAATTTATTGTTGTTGCTGACATGTCGGGAAAATATAAAATTGAATTCTAGTATTTTTTTTCTGTTCTCACACGACTAACATTTACAGATGTTTATTTATTTTTCTTTTTAACAAATCAATGTAGTGTTTATTTTCGTTTTTCTTTTTTTCTTGTACTTTTTTAATTTTTTAATGTTTTGTTGAATTGTTAATATAGGACTATCTTGAACTGTTGAACTTTAGTTTGAAGAGGCTTTGTCATGCGCCACGCCTTTATCTCTGCCCCCTACACGATAAACCCGCGAAACAAATAAAAAAAAAAATATTAATATTGGGAAACGCCGGTAGTGGCACGTGTACGTGTCTCGAGCATTTTATTATCGCTCCCAAGTGAACTAAGATAATTCCGCATAAGGACACCGAAGATTGAAGCCAGATAAGAATGATCAGCGAATCGCGCAACGGCGATTCGCTGATCATGGTGGTCAAACCTCATACTGGGGGCCCCTCTGTCTGTGCGTTTTTCATGAAAGGTATTCTCTAGGATCATTCATCCCTTTTGGCACCAGCCTATACGCTCATATACATAATTCGTTTTTTTTTTGTTTTTTGTTTTTATTGGGAAAGAAGTAACAAAATCCGGGCAGGAGTAAATATTTCCAGGAGCGTTTTGGGGCCGAGAGAAACAAGTCCTGGCTCGTTATTCGTGCTTGCATGACGCACCCTGCAGTCTCGACTTTGAGTACGCCTTTGAGCAGGCATAGACATGCTGACTACTTGTCGAGGCAAGCGGTGCGATACCATTAGCGATGTCTTATATTGGAAAGAGGGAGGGGTGGCCAGAGGTCGCGCTCGCTCGAGGCGGAGAGGCAGCTGAGAAGCGGTGGCGTAGCCAAGAATCTTTTTCGGGGGGAGGGGGCTGGGATGTCTATGACTGGGAGTGCGGGGGGGGGGGGGGTCTCAACATGCACGTGAGTCCCGAATGTAAGAGCGTCAGGAAACGGGACAAGAAAGGCGAGACAAACAAAGCGTTACAATCAACTGAACTGTAATCGGGAAAAACACATTAATATCTATGCCTTCTATTCACAGTTATAACGCAATGTACTCCATTACGTTTTGTGCTAGATGCAATGACGGTGCACTGATACATCTTGCTTCGCCTGTGAGCCTGATGCTAAAA